TAGAGTTATCCAAGATCCTCGAGTCTTCGATTCAGGTGAACTTGTAGGTACACAAGGTAAAGATTCAACGGTCGTGTATTGAAGAAATGAAAACTGACAATATGCGACTGATGTAAAGGACCGGGTGAGTAAGACTTTAAGCAGTTCTGATTGGTGCTTCACGAGCAGCGATACTCGGTACTCGACTTGAACAAAATGATGGCGCGGATAAGAAATGCAGGGACAGAAGGAATTTTCTTTCTAATGCTCTCTGACCAACCAAAGCAATCGAGTGATTAAACTGAGTAACGTCTTGAAGCTCTCTCTCGAGTAAGTACTATACCTTACTGTCTGTAGAATGAGGTGATTTGAAGACTTTATATGAGGCTATGAGCTTGTGATGCAAACGATACATCCAAGTTCTCGTTGTCGAGCAGGTAAGAAATGTATCGATGTGATGTATTTCATCTGAGTTGTTTGTATAAGGACAAGCAAAATACAAGTGATGAGCTCTAATTAGAATTTATCTTGGGAGGTCAGGTACAAGAATACTTTTTCGAGGAAGAAGTCCGTTAGGTAGTGGTATCGATGGTAGTGATGGATGTAACGGGTTCCGATGAGGCAGCTGCAAGCCCAGGCTAAATTTGTATCGCTCTTCCCCAACTTCGAGAGATCTGGATGATCCCTATGGCTGCTTTCCACCCAAACGGGAAATTTCTGGTACACTTCCGGAATCTAGGATGATATGGAAGGAGTCTGATTAATGCCGAGTTGGAAACGTAGAGTATCGTTATGGGTTTCAAGATTACCTATAGGGTAAAGGCTAGAGGGATATCTTTATTGGTTCAAAACGATGGAAAAGGTGTGATGTTGAAGAAATAGATAGATGGGTATGTGGCTAAGGCGATAGACTAGCAAAGAAAGAGAAGGAAAATATGGAATGAGGCGAATTAGCTTATGAGAACATGGTGTAAGTGATTAAGTGGAAGATTTTGGAGACGAGATGTGCGTTTATGTTGCCCGTTGCCGAAGTCAAGCTTTAATTCGATGAAGCACTTGAATTTCCTCGCCTTGTTCATTGATAGCCAGTTAAGATGACAGGGCCCCAGGTCCCATCTAGAACCTCGATAGAATATTTTTTATTTAAAAGAAGGACATTGGACAAGCGCTTCATGCCTGCTCGCTCTTCCTCATACCCATGTTTAGCACCCCAGATATATTTGAGATGAGTGATATTGTAGTAGGAACGAAGTCTCCTCGTTCCCGGTACGCCCGCTGCGGTACTTCGCATATGCCAGTTGTAAGAGCAGAGCAGAGCAGAGTTGAGGCGAGGCGAGTTGAGTGGTGAGAGCCCGAGTCATACCGATCGTCTCACCCTTATGAAATGATTAGATTAGAGTAGTGAACGTTTCCAAGATTCTTCGTTTGTGAATTGATAGATAGTGTGGGTACATATATCGTTTAGTCTTCCTTGTCCATAAAGTAGAGTGACATGGTATGGGGCCGCACAGTCCATTATCTATGGAGTAGAGATATTAGATATATTGATAGAAATGATTGCCACAATATAAAAACCAATCGAGATCTAATATCCCTTCCGTCGAGATGCCTCTTTTTCTCTTCCGTGGCTGTTAATTTAGGATTTGCCAACATCTAGCATGGGTATCTTGTCGTCAGTTTGGTCTGTACTGGAAGTTCTGGACTCTATGGTCGAGTCAATTTTCAGATTCGGAATTTCCAATTTCCAAGGGCAAATGACGTTGAGGAAGGGCGTTTTAAGACTGTACGGAGGTAGCTGGAGGAAGACGTTCACCCCGACGTAAGAATCTTATCTGGCAGGCGTGCCACAGATCTAGTAGTCTCAATGCATACACTACAGCCAAAAGGTAGCGTTGGAAATAGCCCATACACATGAATTGAGTAAAGAGGCGCTCATATTAAATGAAACAAAAAAAGAAAACAGTACATTGACACAATACAACGCGGGACTTACGCACAAGCTCCATCAATTCATGTAAGATCTTAATTTGATGCACCATGCACAGCGTTTATTGAAGCAGTCGGCAACCCAAACGAAGACCCAAAAGAGTGGAATATCGGATGTGAAATGATATATGATAGGCGCGAGAAAGAATTGTAAAAAGATGTTACTTGCCTACTTTACCTTGGCCGACCTGCTGTAGTTGATTGATGTCGATGAGGAAGAAGTATCACCCCCAATTGGAATTGGCCGAGAACAGAATATTGTGTGTGTACAGAATGCTTGATAATTCATATCATCTATCGATTGGGAAATTATCTCTTCTGAGCTGCCTTTTGCGTTCATTCACCTTGCTGTTCGATGGCCGAAGTACTTTTACGGTTGTAAACGACCGGGAAACAGGAAATATTGCATGCACGTACATCTACAGTAATTACCTAGTAGCTACAAGTAGATTTTATACGCGAGGAATTTATCCGTATATACGTAGGTAGGACGACTATATAAACACACTATACCTAGGTAGGTATATCAATATGATAGATGCAGGGATTTTGGGAGGAGGGGGGAGACCATGCTATGCATCAGTAGCTCGTGGCTGCTCATACCACCACCACCACCACCACCACCACCACCACCACCACCACCACCACCACCACACACACACACACACACACACACGCACACATTCAACCTTACTGCCTACCCCCCACGACGCAAATTCATCAACACTATCAACATACCAATATTTCAGCCAATGTATCAATTTTTTATCATTTTTACAATATAATATCGATCCAAGTACAGCTACAAGTCAATGTAAGATTACCAGCATATCGCAAACTACCATGTGACTTATACAGCCATACTATGTTCATATGCATATCCTCTTGTAACATATCCGCATTGCTTTCGGATCCCTTGGAACCATTGCTAAATTACTCTCCAATTTCTTCAAAGCATATCGGTTACCAAAAAGTGCTGACTACTAGGAACCCAATACCGGTTAATCCGCTTCAACATATGTAGCAAAATCCAAAATCATCGTCTTAAAATACAGCTGGATGTTCACGGGTGTGGACGCATCAGAGAGACAATCTGCCCGTTGGTAATGCTACTGTTGTATTGGTGGTCACTGACTGACATTTGAATTCCAGGGAACGAATCTTGACTTGGAATCCAAAGGCTAGAACCTGTCAAACGCTTAAATTGCTATTGCAGCGAGACGTATCATATGACGATATGGAACCTCATCTGTTGCTCATAGGTTAATCTATAACCGCTACAGGTAACAGGATATGAATGGCTTCATGCAACGTTATGTCCTTCCTCCTACCTACCTCATTTCGTGGAGGTTGAAGTGACAGGGACATGGATTGGTGTGTTACTCCAGAACATAGGCTAATCGATTCTAAGCAAAGCAGTCTCAAGTCCGAGTCCGACTCCAAAGATTGGAAAACACCATAGTGAAATGAGTATGGAGAAATATATTCAAGATCCGATTGTCTAATAAATTCCAGAGAAAATACCCACAGTCAATATTCCAAGCGGGAAATAGTATAACCATGCTCTAGGAGCCGTAGTCAGGCCAAGAGATAACTGCATGGATTGACGCATACAGAGGTACAGCCATCCTCCTATGTACTATACATCGAGCGACATTTTACATACCCTATCAAATCATGACTGACAATATAGCATTGAGATGTTCAAATGTTCTCCCAGAAGTTCCAGATACCAGTTTCTTAATTATGCTCATGACACCCTCCACGACTCTGATGTCCAAATCTTCTTTTACTCCACTAACTTCTTGATCCAAGTCTATCACTTTCGGTCGAAGATTCCATTTTGGAAATTCCCGGAACTGATCGGGAAACGGCACTTAATGTCAAATTAGCCTATGTGCGGCGAATACTCCTCATCTACAGGGTACATCGGAATGCTAGAAGGAGAAACTTAGAAATTTATACAGGGCTCAAGCCTTAAGGCCCTATCAGACTCAGGGTATTTGATAAAATCTCATCTGGCATTGGAGCCACCGTCCGGCGTTCACACACCATTGAACATGGGATATGGAACTATTGTCGGTCGTTCTTCCGCTGCACAGATCACTCTTGGGTCGAAATCTACAGCTGCACTCAGATGCACAATAAGTCAGTCTTGCAACGCGGGCTCATGCAGAACAGGGCCATCATCATGCACGCCACAGGCCACACAGCATACAATCTTGACCTTTCTTCTATCAAAAACTTCTTCTGCCTTGATTTTGTCACTACTATTCTTCGCCGCATGAATATTGGCCTTCATCTGTGATCTGATAGACATACGGGACGTTACATGAAGCATCCCGCTTCCTTTTCGGACGAGGGAGACACATGGCAATTTAATTTCCTTAACGACATGTCAGAAAACGAGATCTCGACCCTCTTGCCGGCGATCTTCCCTGCATGTCGAGTTACACAAAATAATCAGCTCTTACGATAGCAGCTTGGGCAAATTACTACAGGCCCAATTATGTCTCTACCTTGACAATTGTTGCATCTGAACATTAAATCCACTCATCATCTTTGACATTGCGTTGCTTAGTTGAGCTGGGCCTCGGCTCAGGTCTTTTCCTGAGATTGCGGTATTCTGGTGCTTGTGTGGTTGATTTAAATCTTGCAGGCCTACTTACGGACGCGACAGTATCATCTCATATGAGATGTCATATAGGGTCATTGTTCAGGGGTCAAATTATGCTGGATGTGCCTCAAGCTATAATCATATGTCCGGCGCTTCTCCAAACGTGCTCCCGAGCCCTCTGTGACGAAGTGGCGCGGATCTTCGATGCCGAGAACTTCATATTGCTACCCAACTATCATGCACCTTTGTATCAACCGTTTTACTGACGATCCTGCATGCTAGTCCGTAACTTGACTGTTATTATATTTGACATCTGTCACCGCCCAACGGCCAGTGCTATGATTTACATGGAAGGTTCTGACGGTTCTAACAGCTAATAACCGAGATTTACGAGGAGACAAACAGATGGTAGGTGCTCATGGAACGCCAAGACTGCGATAAATCGAAATTAGATTTGGGTAATGGGAATCAAGAAGTGCGAGCCCTGCAAGGTATATGCCGGTACTTAAACTGGCCGCGCTGAAACTCACTCATTGATATCCACAATAGAACTCCATGAAGGTTTTCCTAAGTTCTAACATCGGGGAAGCTGTCAACCCTGTGCCGGCTACTCCACATCAAATCAGGATTCATAGGTTGTTTGGTGGCAGACTTTGGTTTCTGTGCACCTTCTGCAAAGGATGGAGCAGCGGTTCTATCAATGTTCCCGAGACAATCTGCACAGATCAAGCTCCTTTAAGGCGACGGATTGCGGAACAAAACATGGTATCGGTACTTTCAGTAGACCTCTCTTTTTTTCTAAATTGAGTATAAATGTATCACTTGGTTGGCGGTGGCCCTAAATGTGGTAGAACATGTCTAGAAGATAAAACGATAAATCAATCGGAAAGCCCAATACGGAGAGTGTCGTCTTCATGTCTCGGGTTATATTCCCGAACCAGAAATAACTCGGGGGTGCGAAAAAGTCAAATACATCAACAAATCAATTTGATTAGGGCACAATTCGAGTCGAAACCAGGACAGCAAATGTTCATTCTAACAATCTCCACACCATTGAAATCTTGGCTGGGGTACATATCAAGATTTGAGATTCAAGAGTCAAGGCAATTCGTATCCTAAAGCCAGGGCTCCATCTTACAGGACTTCAAGAATAGGACCGGATGGATTAGTGATTCAAGGATGAAATTCGATATTATCTTAAACGTCTAATGAGGTTGACCTCAATCCCCGGCCAAACAAGGACAAGGATTTTCAATAGAATTTCGCTTCTACGTCAATCATTGGCTGTTATCAGTCCGTAATTTCATTGTTCTTGTAGTTATGAAATTGCTGTAGATAGGTCACCTTGGAAGGAAAAGTTCGAGGGTTTCGAATAAGGCAGTACTGTATATCTGCTTGAGAAATCATCGTAATGTATATGCATCACAGCCGACCAAATTGCCGCCGATCAAGAGTCCTTGCAGTTGTCGAAACTCTAAATCGCTACCGGATCGCTCATTAAATCCAAAACTCGGATAATTATCAAGGGTCCTTGCCGAAGGCCGCTTGCACGGTTCAGCCGTTAGGAATCCTTACCACGGCCTTCGAAGTACGAACTAGGATTGATACCCCCTCGCCCTTATCTCATTTCTCGAATGGTCATTGTCGAGGACAAAGTCTCTTCCGGAACGAAAGTGTCCTAGACATCATCCAACTTCTAGTTCACCTGCAATTCTTCTTTGGTCCCATTAATCGTTAGACGTTTCTATTAAAAAATGAAACCACATGACAGCATGAATCAAACATCTTTTCAACTTTTGGCAAAAGCTAACAATAATAGCATCATAGCAGAGTCAATTGAATCTATATACGTGGTCCAATGTCTTCAATATAGGCAAGTCAATTGTAGCTCAGACTCAAACGCCGACCACATATTGTCTTCCGAGCACACAATGCATCCATCATAGTTGGGAGGAGCTGATGTTCTCGAATAATTTTAATGTTCGAATCCAATTTATTAAGCATTGGTATCACAATCCCCCGGGATATCAAAGCAGTGGCGCAGCAAGCACCATCAGCGCTGGGGCTTACATGACGATCCTGTAGCTCTCAACCCACTCAACATAGCTGCTCCAAAGTAACGACTTTTGACCTGAATGATTAAGAATATCATAGATAGTTCGTATGGTTGCCCACATAAATTTCCTTAACTTCCACTCGAAATATTCAAGTCTGTAAGAGCAAAGTGGGCTGACTTACTTTCACATGTCTTCACTTGGCTTTCTTACATAACTCCAAATCATTTAAATATGCTTCTGCGTCACAATCAAGCACATTTGGGCACGAGTTTGAAGAAGTTTGTGCAAGGATTTATATGAATGTACCATCCAATTCTACATCACACAGGTACAAGTAGCACCACCCCATGTACAATTTTTTATGTTTCGCTAGTGCGCATACTGTGGCAGTCATCTGATTTTATTATTGGAGCGATTGGAAGGAGATATGCAAAGTTGAGGGCCTCAACAGAAGATGATTTTGATTAGATGTTTGTTCGGAAAACCTACAGGTATATGGATCTCATACGATTTTCGCTCGCAACAACTCTCAAAATTCAGAATCGGTTGCATGCAGCGTGCAGTCATCAAAATAGGGAAATGCTATTATCGTGTTGCGTGGCTAATACCTTCTTCCTAAGTCTATTGGTGCATGGTCTGCAGAGATCGTTCTTTCGGGAAGACCTTGGCAACGAACATGCTCTTAAGGTTGATGAAGCAAATACCATCTCAAGTTCTGACACTTGTAATGTCAGTGTCCCAATTCGTGTCATCATTCGTGAAACTTATCCATTTTCAGTCATCATGATTATCCTTTCTGTCAATCGCTATCACCACTAATAGACTCCATAACTATATCTCGCCCGGTAATGAACGAGGATTTGTTTCACCAACAGGAAATAGTCATTTGAACCTCCTTCTCCTTGTCTTTACGAAATATTGCAAGACAATCATTAGCAACTGGGATATAAGAAGTGAACCTGAAAGAGCGAAGCAAGGCTTCACGATAGTTATTGGGGGTCAAAAACCTGTACTTCCCAACAATTATTCAAAGCGTTACTTATTTTTTTTCGTACAACCTCAAAATTATACACTGTCTGCACAGTTGCAGATTCTGCAGACGAATTCCAATATCTGAATCTGAGAGCCATAGTGTTCAGCTTCCGGATATGCCCGAGCAGTTAGAGCCACATGATATACTGACGTCTCATGATACTGACGAGATCGGTCTCGGATTACTTCTTTAAGGCTGCAATAATTGCCGATGTATGTCTTTCTCAAGCTCCTTCTTGTCTTGTTTTATTGAGCATCAGTTATTAATCAATATCTCGAGAAACATCATGCTAGATAATGCATCTCTTTCCACATATGATTTATTGGAAGCGTCTGAGTACACTTGGTCAATGATAGGGGGATCATTCGTCGCCTCGTTTCTGAATGCTACTTTTCCAAGCTTATACGAACTTTCCTGACTTGCCAGTATCATCTCCTCGAGTAGCATCAAAGCAAAGCTGTGATGTGTTACAAAGTAATAATGATAACATGACAAGAACGCTCGCCCTGCATCTACCATTGGATTGATAATTTATGCCTTCTAATACACTACATTAAATATTGATCAGATATACTTGAGAATGTCAACACTGCTATTTTGGGACACACGATGTATATGTCAGTAATCATTAGTGTGAGCAATGCAATATTATCGTCTGTATGATCTGCATGCAATAAAAACCCCCTGAATTTATCTTGATCGTTCTGCCGAGACCCAGGAAATCAGCATCGTCAGCGCAGAAGCACATACTGACTCATATGCATACAAGAGCTATTGCAAGTACTATTACTGTGGGAGGTTCCCTTGTACGCGTTACTCAAACATGTCTATTAATGGGTGGCTAACACCTTTTCCGATTCGTCCTTCTCCCACCAAATGGATGTCGCCACGATGTCTCTCAAGCAGTTTACATGAATCCACAATGTCCGAGGGTGTATACGTCGTGCATGGCAGCCTTTTCCTTGACAGGCCGGTTCATGCCGGATCGTCACTACTATGTCTCTCTTATAAATGTCTTCAGCTGTTCCAGTCTCAATATCTTCAACGTAAAAAGCTAGTCCGAGCTGGGTATCTTTCTGAACTCTAAACGGGCTTGGTTCTTGCAAATTATGTAAATTCGAACCCCAAGTGCACATTCGAATAGCCCAACATATGAAAACAATTACCTGTAGTTCTTAAATTTACGATAGAACATCACGAAACATGATACGTTGGGCCGATGCAGATTTGTTCCGACGATTCGCAGCCCCCCTGAGATTTTTTCTAAAATAAGACCAGCGCCACCAAACTCAAAATCAAAGTCAAAATACCAAAGTTTAGATACCATACGATGTTAATTCCCAAAAGTCATTACCCCCATGCCAGACACAAAGACAGGAATAGAAACAGGAATTCCAGCAACCCAAAAATCAGAAAGTGACGTCCCCCATGCCAAAAACCAACACACTTTTGACGTCCGACTCAGACAATCCATCGCTTTCCAATGCCGATTTCAAGATTCAGTAAAAGCAAGACAGGATAGTCAATTATCGTACGATGATTCACGTGGAATGACCGAAGACCGGAAACCCCGAGAGGGAAAAATAGATTGAGATTGAAATAGAAATTTCCACCTCGAAATCACAATTGTGATTTATGATTCATGTACTGGGTACCGATATTTTACGGGATTGCCAACACCAGACCGGACCGGGTATGAGGAATTGGGTAGATGTTTAATTTTGTGGAAGTGTGTGTGTATGTATTTGTACTGAGCTATGCAATATGTACATGAGTATTATGTATCGTTATGTACAGAACTCGGTACCTCTAGAAAACAAGAAAATTGTCTCCACCCCCTCCCTCACTCCCTTGCTCCCAAGCCATCTCCACCAAATCCAATATTTCCAATGTCCTCGCGGATGATCATTGATCTGCATCAATCCCAATCCCAATCCCAAAATCAATCCCATAATCAATAACAATAACCTTCTCCTCCTTAAACTCCGCACGCACAGCCCCATCCATTTCCTCCGTAGATTACCAACGCAAACCCGCTTGCTTGCTCGCTTGCTTTCCCATTCCATTCCATTCTCCCCGATCATCGAAGCGAAGCGAGAGAAGAAAAAAAGGAACATACCGACCGGTACCCTCCTTCTTCCAACTTCGCACGTACATCACCTCTCGTACACACGCTCGTTACGAGAAAGAGAGAGGGGCAAAAGATTATGCAGCGAGATAAGTTAATCCCCCGAGGCTCCATCCGATCCACCCGGATTAGGTTGTCGAAGACGCGGAAATAGCTAGGAGGGTTGAAATTCTGGGTGTGGTGAACCCATGTTTCTCGGTACCAGAAAGTGCGGGATTTGGGTACCAGCGGTTTTGGGGATCCACAGTTGGATTTTTTGGGTTAGTGGGATCAGAGGGGTTGAGATTAGATTAGAGGGGGTGGGAGAAGGGAATGGAAGGGAATTTTTGGGTGGTGATGAGAAGGGAGAGGAGCTTCTTTGGGCATAGATTTGCGGATTTGCGGATTTGGGTTGGGTTTGGATGGGATGGGATGGGCTGGGCTGAGCGATGGATAACGACTGTGGGACTTGTGATATTAGAGCGGGGATGGGATGTGGGGGCATGGGAATTGGGATTTGAGAGGATGCCGTTTTGGGAACGAGGATTGAGTGTGAGGTTGGAGAAGGAAGGGGAAGAGAGATGGAATTGTTGATTGAGTCGGTAGGTGTATGTATGTAGATAGGATACAGTATCTCACTACATGACATTGATTGGAGAAGAAGAACTGTGAGGAATACTACTGGAAATTCTCATTGTGATGTTGTAAGACGGTTTGATTACATAGGAAGGAGGGGAAGAGGTGAGATTTTGATCGTTTTTATGCCCAATTACTCGAATATAGTAGGGAGACAGAATGGAAGTTCCGAGGGAGAGAGAAGAGGGATTTCCTTCAAGATAGAATACGCATACAACGGTTGCATATAAATACCTAAATATAGTAAGAAAACATACAAAGACGGAGAGATTCGCAACAGCTAGGAAATTCCAAACCTCACAATATCTCTTTTCCTCAACCAAATATCCTCTCAGAAAGATATCAATAGTCTAACACATCCATCTGCATTCATCTGGATATTCCGAATTCAATCCTAATACTATTTCTCCCTCTTCGGTATCTAAATCGTTAGCGTCTACTCCGAGGTTGAGTCGAAATACATACATGTGTATACAGATTCTCTAATATCCCTTCAATATTCCTCCTTAACAATACTTAAATTGTATATGCAATATGGCAGAAATACAAACATTCCTCCCCTGAAGCAACACAGAAAATCAGAACAGACACACAAAATCCCTCACACTCCGATCATCCACCACCTTACCTTCCACATACTTGTATCTCCCCTCGCGGTTCATCCCACCTACCCCAAAGCCCATAAATCTATCAGATACCTACTCTATCTACTCTATCTATCTCACCCTTAGGGATTTCAGTTCCACGCTGCAAATATCCAGTCCAACTCGTAGGGAAGTATCTCAGAGATATCCAACATACCATACCATACTCCCACAATCTACCCCAAGCAACATAAATAGCACAAACCCAACACTAAACTCATCATCCACCCCCAACTCTCACAATCTTCATATTCATATCAAACGATTAATACAATTAAGTTGTATTCCCTAAACCCTACGCTACCAAATGCAATGCAACATCAATGCTTAACACAAATAGATGCCTATGTCCACAAAATCATCAATGGTATCAACGACTCTCATTTGCTCATCATGTTTCATGCCATAACCCATTGTATCCCTTTCCGTCCTATTCTCAACGCTTCGACGTCTCAATATCCCATTTTGTATTCGTGATCTTAGTCCTGGCCCAAGCAAGCGAGAAGAGTCGACCTATATCATGTATATCTTCTTGTTCGCATCGTAGCTTGGGCCGAGAGTATACTTTGAGGGGTATACTACTAGTAATTCAATCGAGTAAAAAAAGGACTCCCATCCATGTTATCATCACCCATGCTCTCCAAAATCATTCAACGTAAATCTCAATTACCATCGTAAGCTCTACCCCAAGTATCGTGCCATCGCGACGTTTGCCTTATGCAAAATAGGATTTCCAGAGCACGCCTTCTAGATCCTCCAACTGTTCGGGTGTGAAATACTGTTGTGAACGATTAGTTATATGTACTGTTTTAAGGGGAGTGGAATGCAGAAGGTAAAAGAGTGACAGAAACATACCTTTTGATCCGTTACCCAAGTATCCTGTCGAGTTTTCTTGAAATCAGCCAAAACACTCTTCACAGTCTTGCCAATTGCACCGGCATCATTTGCAGCTCTACTTGCTAAAGTAGCCAATACCTCTGGCATCCATTCGGGTGGTGGTGTTGCATATGGGAATGCGTTGACCAAGGCACCTAATCCGAGAACAGCCGCATGTCTTTTGATAATCTGAGCATTTGAATTCACTGGTGTGCTTACACCTTGTACTTTCTTCGGCATAGGGTTCTTCTTGAGAGCTTGTGTAAATTTGATGCGCAAAGAAGATAGGATATTGTTGCGAAGAACGATGGGCGAACATCGAATCATGCCAGCAAGAGTAGTAGACGCACCAAGACGGACTTCGAGTTGTGGGTCCTCAAGCATCTCGGCAACGGCTGTGAAGAGAGCTTGTTGCTCGGCGGGCCGGATGAGGAATATGCGACGGAAATAGATTACTTGCATGTTGATCAAGGTTCGTAAACGTTGATGCCATGATGCGGATACCTTGCCGATACGGATGAGGGCCGAAATAAACTCACCATCCTCACCAGCACGGAACGGAATATTGGGAAGGTGGCGATATACGTGATAAGCAAGACGTTGGAGTTCTGGATCTTCTTTGACATCCATCATATGTAAGAGTTGCTCCATAAATACATTCGGGAAGAAACTAATAAGTTGGGTACATTCGTAAGATTGCAGAGTGGAATCAAGCCATAACAATACAGTTTTGCTACCGTTGGTATACGAGGTTGGTGTTTGCTCACCCGGATTTCGTTGACCACGCCAAGCTTCTAGTCGCTTAAAGACGTCTCGGATGGTTGAAGAGAAATC